CTTTCTAACAATACATATAATATACTGAAGGAAAAAAATCTGTTTCTTTAGTAAATCTATCCTGCCCCTGCCTACAGTCCATCCCTCACCATCAGCCAGAAACACACACTTCAGAATATTTAATTGCTCATGGGTATGGATATATATGTCAAAAGTTATTTAAGACTGAAAAGTTCTTTGAGTAGTGCCATTTAAATTGGCAACCTTTTTGAATGCCTCAGATATTCTTTTCCAGAAACTAATGTGAAGAAGAAAGAGAAACATTTACTTTTTTTATTTGGAACAGACAAAAGCTGGCTAATAATACTGTAATAATTACATTTCTGTCTCTTAATTTTATTATAAAAATGGATCCGGTTGTTTCATGTTTCATTTGACCACATAATGTATCTAGGTTCCTGAAGAAATGCACTTGTCTATTCCATCTTCTTAGTATTAGTCAGAGCATTAGCAACACCCTGTGACTGCAGTGTGGTTGCTGTACTTACATCTGAAGAAGTCAGCTTCAGTGGGTGAAGATTGCAATGTGGATGAGAACTTTTAGTCAGAACTCCTAAGACATTTAAAGTCCAAATTATGTTGAAAGCATTTTTTCAGCCTCAGCTGATCGATTGACTCAGTACATTACCCCCCCCCCCATGAACAGGATAAGAGGGAGAGATACTTGTGTCCTCTTCACACCTTCAGAATTGCATGTCTGAAAATGATTCTAATATATAAATTAAGTAGCATATTCAAGCACAGAGTTTCCTACTACCAAATATTTAATCAGTTTTGAGCATTATAAGAAACATCACTATCCTCATTCCAGCGTTTCTCAGCCCTTTTCTTTCTGTTCCTTTCAGCCATTACAATGGCAGCCACCACAGTTACAAAGACTGTAAAAGTTATAACAAGAACTGTCACTGTCTCAGCAGTACAAAGCTCCGTATCTACAGCTGACAGAGGCAGGTTTCTCAAGAGATGGGGCTCCATGCATGTCATGTTATAATAATCATCCAAGATCAGTCTCCTAACACTGTGCAGTTTTGCAAAAACTCTCTGAAGATCACAGTCACAGAACCAGGGATTGTCTGAGAGTAAGATGTGAGTTCCAGGGGTTTGCAGAGATAATAACGTTTTGAATTTAATGTGCTCAATTTTATTGTGGATCAAGTTAAGTACTGTAAGGTGGCTTAATGGAATAAAGGCTCCAGGAGCAATAGTTTTTATCATATTACCCTCCAAGTTCAGGATCTCTAAGTGTTGCAACATGGAAAATAATCTATTATGTAGGGCATGAAGGCAATTGTTTTGAAGGTAAAGTTGCCTCAAGCGAGTAAGACTGCGGAAAGTCCCCATTTCTATGGAGGAAATGTTGTTATTTTGCAAATTCAGCTTCTGAAGATTTTCAAAGTATTGAAAACTCTTGTACTGTAGCTCCTGCAGTTTATTGTAGGCCAAAATAAGTTCACTGAGAGAAATAAGACCCACTGAAAAACTGTTGCCAAGAAATGAGATATCATTTCTACCAATATCAAGCTTGTGGAGCCTGCCCAATGAAATGAAAGTTCTGTCTCTAACTTTGTGGATGGAGTTGTTGCTCAAAAGGAGAACCTGCAACTTCCACAGGGAACTTAGAGATTTCCAAGGAATAGAATACAAGTTGTTTTGAGAAAGGTCCAAGTGTTCTGCATCAGGGGGGAATGTTAGATTAGACACCAGAGCATGAACTCCTGAACAGTTCACAAACTTTGACCCCTCTTTGCAAAAACAGATTTTATTGCAGGCTTGATAGATTTTAGAATCACTGTGTGAAAGAGCAAACCAAAGCCAGACTAAGTAATGGAAATACATTTTCTGCCTTATTCTGTACTTTTGTTGATTCCTGTTGAGTAATACAAATAATATATATATTAGAAAAAGTTGCACAATGTATAATTAAATTTTAACTACAGGTAGTCTTTGACTTATGACCAGAATTGAGCTCAACATTTATGTTAAGTGANGCGAATAAAGGGGGCTGGGGATGTCCACGTGACCACCCTACAAATTTCCTCCACTGAAGCCTGAGTAGCCCAGGCTGCAGTCGTGGTCACATTCCGGGTGGAGTGAGCCATTATGCCTTGAGGAGGATGCAGATCGTTCGCCCTGTATGCCTTAGAAATACAGGCTCTAAGCCAGTGCCCTACAGTGGAAGAAGAGATCTTGGAGCCAAGGGAAGCTGGTTGAAAAGAAATTAGTAAGGCCTCAGAATGCCTAAATGAAGCAGTATGTTTGATGTAAATACATAAAGCCCTGCGAACGTCTAGGTTATGCCACTTCTGTTTTAACCTATGAGTAGGATGTGGACAAAAATTTGGTAGTACAAGTTCTTTGATTTTTATGAAAGGATTAGTTCCCTTTGGATCGAGACGGAGAATGACCCTATCTGCATGAAAGATGCAGAGGTTGCTTCTAATTGACAGTCGCAATTTCAGAAATTTGTCTAGCTGAAGTCACTGCGATTAAGAAGGTGACCTTGAGAGTGAGATACTGTAGAGAGACAGTCCGTAATGGTTCGAATGGAGCCTTAGTGAGAAAGTCTAAAACCTCGGTTAGATCCCAAGTTGGGTACCTATGCATGCTGGGAGGACGAATATTGGTTGCTCCTTGGAGGAACTGTCGAATGTGTGTCAGGTGAGAGATGGGCTCACTTGTCGGTAGAGTTAGGACTGTAGAGAGGGCCGCCACTTGACATCTCAACATGTTTGGCGAAAGACCTTTGATGAGGCCCTGTTGGAGAAAGTCTAAAACATTAGCCAGAGGAACAATGTTAGAAGAGGAACACCACTTGCTAAAAGCTCTCCAGGTAGCATTGCATATTCGAGTTGTAGATGGGCGTTGTGAAGCTTGTATGGTTTGAATGACAATGTCCGACAGCCCATCTGCTCTCAGCGCCTCCTGCTCAACCTCCACACTGTTAGTTGCAACCAATGCGGGTCTGGATGATGGATCGAGCCTTGTGAGAGGAAGAGCTTGTGCAACAGAATACGCCATGGAGGTGTTACTGATAGGTCCCCGAACAAGGGACAGCGGGGCCAATGTGGTGCCAAAAGGAGAATTTCCGCCTCGTCTGGCATTTTCCACATCACTCTCTGTATTAGAGGCAGAGGAGGAAACACGTATAGAAGGCCCGAGGTCGAGTACTGGTCTCCCGTATCAGTGGGACAGGTCCTGGAAGAGGTTGTGTGAGATGCTCCACTCGCTGTGGTCTATCTGAGCCAATCGGCTTGAGTGTTGTTGATACCCGAGATGTGTTCTGCCCTGAGGGAGAAGATGGGCTTCCACCCAAAGCCCCAACAACCACACCTCCCTCATCAGTGGTTCGGACCTCATCTCCCCCCCTTGCCGATTTACGTGAGCCTTTGCGGTGGTGTTGTCCATGAGGACGAGAACATGGGTGTTGCACACAGTGTTCTGAAATCGCCGAAGGGCTAGCTGGATTGTCCGCAGTTCCAGCCAATTGATGGTGTTGGCACAATCGGCTTGTGACCATAGTCCCTGTGCCATCCCTGTTTGGAAGTGGGTCTCCCACTCCATCAGACTGGCATCCGTGGTGAGTGTGAGATGAACTGGCTCTCAAAAGACTTTCGTGAGTCAATGCTGGTGATAGCCACCACCCCAAGGACTTTGTCACATGTGGGGGAATGCAAACCTGTTGCAGGGAGCAGCTGAGGTTGCTCTTCTGGTACGGTAGCAGGTACCATTGCAGGCAACGGCTGTGGAGGCGTGCCCATGGCACGATGTAGAAGCAGGACACCATCTTCCCCAACAGATGAGACAATTGGAGAAGTTGGGCTCTGCGACGGGTGTGGATTGTTCTGGCCAGATCCTGCAGACTGTTCCGTCGATCTGCTGAGAGGAACACTTTCCCCTGCACAGTATCTATTAAGGCGCCCAGATGTAGGATACGAGTGTCTGGGTTCAGACAGCTCTTTGCAAGATTTATTGAGAAGCCTAGCTCCTGTAGGACTTGAATGGTGGTGTGAATGTCTCTGTGAGCTTGCCCGATGGAGGGGGAAAGCAAGAGAATGTCATCCAGACAGACTTGGATCTGGACCGATCTGAAGCGGGGGTGGGCCACTATCACCGCCAGCACCTGCTGATGACAGCCCGATGGGGAGGGCTCGGTACTGGAAATGATGTCCCCCATACTTGAATCGAAGGAACTGTCTGTGTTCACGAAGGATGGGAATATGCAGATATGCCTCCATGAGGTCCACCAAGGAGAGGTCTCCCTTGCAGATGCTCTCCAAGATGGACTGCAAGGAGTGTACCTTGAACCGTCGATAAATGACGAATCGGTTCAAGACTTTGAGATCCAGAATGGGTCTCCATCCCCCCGAGGCTTTTGGCACCACGAACAGCCAGGAGTAGAACCCCTGGTGTTCTTGGCCCTTGGGCACAGCTTGAATGACCCTGATCTGTAGAAGATGTCAAATGGCCTGTTCCACCAGCTGCCTCTTTTGTATGTTGCGAGACACTGGACAAGGAACAAAATGCATTGGAGGGTTGGAGAGAAATTCCAGGATCAGACCCAGTGGTGGGTTTCAAATTTTTTTAGAACCTCTTCTGTAGGTGTGGTTTATTTTGTGGGAGTGGCTTGGCGGTCATGTGACCATGTGGGCATGGCCAACTTGGAAAATGTGGTGAAACTCGCTAAATCAGTGTTTTTCAACCTTTTTTGTGCAAAGGCACACTTTTTTCATGAAAAAAATCACGAGGCACACCACCATTAGAAAATGTTTTAAAAATTTAACTCTGTGCCTATATTGACTATATATAAAGTAATTTTCCCACGGCACACCTTACACTATGTCACGGCACACTAGTGTGCCGCGGCACAGTGGTTGAAAAACACTGC